TGTTTGCTAATTGCTGCTGGCTAGTCTGAAGGAGCTGAGTGGGGGAGTCATGGTGAAAGCCTGCTCTGTGAGGCAGAAGCTCTGAAGCTTGGAAAATAAAGCTACAAGGAGGAGCTGTGCTTCAAAGGCAGAGCTAGGTCCACCCAGCCATTTTGCACAGCTGAATGGTTGCCATGGAGTTTAAAGGATTTCTCAAACCTGCATAAAATAATCAAAGCAACACTCCAGGTGTGATTTTGATGAGAGAATAACATTACAAGATGATGCAAAGCTCAAAAATCGATTTTGCAAGATACTCTTGAAATATTTTAAGATTAATGAATTGTTGTTTTGTGGCTTTACATAACTTCTATTAAAGATTAAGAAAGTAACTTATGTAAAAAATGTTTTTTACACATTTGTTAAAATTATTACCATGTTGTGGCATTTCATTGTGACACAGATAATGGTCATGTTATGCATGTAACTACTGCTCCTCATGGAGCAGTAGTTACATGCATAACATGACCATGTCCTGTACTCTATGTTGTACCTCGATCCTCTTATTCATATAAGGGTTAGGGGTCCTCTTATTCATATAAGAGGATCGAGGTACAACATAGAGTACAGGACATACTTTTACCGCAGAGCAGCCATCAGACCTGATGTGTTGGTGTGAAACTGTCAATCCAGCAGAAGGAACAGTGAGCCACAGAAGGGATTGTCACATCCAGACAATAAAACAGAACAAAAGTGTGTGGTGAAGACCATCTGACTGCAGCACAGATATTAACCCAGGATGCCGCCACAAGCGTGGTTGAGCATTCTCTCACAGCATGTGAGAGAATGCTTTACTGTTGTGAGAGAAATAACCGACTCATGGAGTGAGTGAGAGAGCTTCTAGCTATATTGGCAAAACACACAAACAGCAAGCACCTCAATCATTCAAATGTCTGGGTTGCTCCTGTTAAGTTGTAAGTAGCATACTGCGCATGTGTTAAATGTAAGGTATTGGGAGGTAATGAGAGCTGTAGTTTTTTTCATTTTGTTGTGTGAGGAGCACGGGTGCGCATGTTGTTAACTGTTAATGGCGACCATTAAAGTGTGGATGCTAACATCAGCAGTGTGATTATTGAATCAACACTGGTAGCAGAGGATAGTTGCTGCTGGAAAGTACAAAGTTCCCCCACCGTTCAACGAGAAGACGTCTTACGAAAGTTGGAAAAATGAGATTGAAATCTGGAGACTTGTTACTGACTTAGACAAAAAGAAGCAGGCTCTAGCGGTTACCCTGTTGCTATCAGGAAGAGCAAGAGAGAGCGCGTTGGAAATCGCTGCGGAACATCTCAATGACGATACAGGAATGAGCGTCCTTTTAAACAAGCTGGATTCAAAGTTTTTAAAAGAAAAAAAGGATTGACAGTACGAAGCTTACACGGAGTTTGATCGGATCAACAGACATGGCGACACGTCCATGATGGATTACATTATCAAATTTGAACGACGGTACAACAAGTTACGCAAGTTCAAAATGGAACTACCAGATGCAGTGTTAGCATTCAGGCTCTTAGACACCGCGGGGCTAAACTTTAAGGACACCAGCAGCGGTACTTGATGAAGAACATGATTTTGAAACCGAACATGAGGAGGAGATGGCACCAACAAGCGATGAACCACTTGGTGTTGCAGAAAACTGAATCCTCCTGTGATCCAGTACAACCTGAAGAGGATGGTCTCCCACTGACACACAACTGTAAGTGAAGGAATAAAACTAAAAGCTGGACAAGGAGTTAAATATACCGACAAAGAAACAGGTTAAAAGTATGCTGAAAAAATAACAAGCCGGGCAGGAAAAGCCAGTGGGAAACGCAAAAACTGGTACAACTTAGAATATACTGAGCCAGAGGAAATTGCTGGATCCACAGGGTCCATTGATGTGGGACAAGTAAGCAACCTCGAAGTGGTTGAAAATGTCAAGACCAATACTGACAACAGAGATGAAATATTAGTGGTGAATGAGGATATTTTCTCACACGCTAAACAAACTGAACTTGAGAACTGGAAAAGAAACAATGTATTTGTGGAGGAAAAAGATGAAGGTCAGATGCATATCAACGAGGTGGGTGTGCACACTCAAGAAAACACAAGTAGACATAGTACCAAAAGCTAGACTGGTTGCAAGAGGCTTTGAAGAAATTAACATTCAAGAACTTTCTAAGGATTCACCCACTTGTTCCTCTGAAGCTCTAAAGATGGTCATAGCTGTTAAAAGCCAAGATAAATGGAAGCTGAACTCCAAAGCAGCTTTTTTGCAAGGTAAAGATTTAACACGGGATGTGTATCTTCATCCACCTCAAGAGGCAGAGTGAAGGAATCGTATGGAAGTTAAATAAATGTGTCTATGGCTTGGCAGATGCTTCCTTCTTCTGGTACAACAAGGTGAAAGAAACCATGCAGAAGCTGGGAGGAACTGTGTCAAAAGTTGATCCAGCTGTCTTCTACTGGCAAGATGATTTCTGTATGGTGACAGGAGTTCTTACATGCCATGTAGATGACTTTGTATGGGGTGGTTCAGACATGTTTTCTTCAGCTATTATCCCCCAACTGAAAGCTGCTTTTCAAGTTGGACGAGAAGAACATAACAGCTTCAACTACGTTGGAATGGAGGTTCATTCTCTGCAGAATGAAATCAGAGTACAACAGCGTGCATACATTAAAAACCTACAGCCCATTCCAATTCCATCAGAGCACCACAGTGGGAGGTTCCATTAACAGACACAGAAATGGACATGTTAAAATCCAAGATTGGACAGATTCTTTGGGTAGCAAGACAGAGCAGACCTGACATCATGTGTGACAAATCCATCTTGGCGTCAAACACAAAACATGCTACAATTCAAACATTACACTGTGCAAACAAACTGATCAGAAAACTTAAATCTGAGGAAGTTACCCTCAGATTCCAATGCTTAGGAGACGTCAAATACCACAAGCTAGTGGTGTTCAGCGATTCCTCAATGGGAAACCTCTCAGATGGAGGGACACAAGGAGGACATTTTGTCATCCTGATGAGAGAAGATGGAAAATTTTCACCCATATGGTGGCAATCCAGATGGATTAGGAGAGTGGTATGAAGCATGTTAGCTGGAGAGACTTTAGCACTAGCAGATGGGCTTGATAGTGCCGTCTTTCTTACTACTCTCTATTCAGAGCTCATGGTTGGTGATGGCACGCGCAACATCCTACCCATTACCTGTGTAACGGACAACCATTCCCTCCTTGATGCTGTCCACTCTACAAAATTTGTAACTGAAAAGAGACTTCGGCTTGACATCAACAGCATCAAAGAACTTATGGGTTCTGGGACAATTCAGGAAATCATATGAATACCTACCAAAGACCAACTTGCTAACTGCTTAACGAAATTGGAGGCATCTGTCCTTGGACTACTGAGAGCCCTAAGTGAAGGAAAATGGCAATTTAAAGATTAAAACAAACAAACAAAAAACACTACTGTTCTTTACATAAATTAAGTTCAAGTAAATGGAGCTAAAATAAGTAAAGTTAAAATGCTACTACCGAATGTTGTTCTAACCCGTTATGTTTTTTTTAAAGAAAGAGGGGAGATTAAGTTGTAAATAGCATACTGCACATGTGTTAGATGTAAGGGGAGGTAATGAGAGCTGTAGTTTTTTCATTCTGTTGTGTGAGGAGCGTGGGATCGCATGTTATTAACTGTTAATGGCGACCATTAAAGTGTGGATGCTAACATCAGTAGTGTGGTTATTGAATTAACAGCCCAGAATTAACACAGTTAATATCTGTTCTTACCCGATTGGTACTCTCCTTAGGCTTCCTGTCTTAGAAGCCGATTGCAGACAAGCCAGCAGCAAAGTGGCTGTGTGGTTGGGGGATACCACTAGTGTAAAAAGGGGAACCCTCCACTGTTTGTTGTGACTTTTAGATGTTTTTGTGCCAACACAATCTGCACAAACGGTCAATAATATTTACAGACAAGTAAGAAAATGTACAGAAAGGAATCACAACCCACTGTTCTCAACTGCTTAATTTAAAATGTGATAAATCCCCACTCAGTAATAAAATTCTCCCACTCAGAACTGAAGGAGGAGGGTAAGAAAGTGGTGAGGGGAAAGAGGAGGAGATGAGAGGGGCCAGTAATTAGAAGACATTTTAAATATCCACAATAAAATGCAACCAAGACAACAATAAATAAAACGGAAATAAAAACCACACAACAGAAATCATACATAAAATGAATTATTTTGTCACTGTAAATAAATTGCCCTTCATAAATAAATAATCAGAATGGAAATTGTCAAGTTAATTTTAATTTATTATGCAATTAATAGATTTATTACTTATTGTGACAGTGTTGGGGATCTGCTTCCTGTGTTTACATTTGGTTCTTATGACCATAACTCATCTGACCAATAAACAGGCTGAATGCTTGTAGTGACTCATTCTTTGAGATGTCTGTGGGAAAATAAACCCAACAACCAGAAAAGTTATTCAGCAGCTGATTCAGGACAAAGTTGATCAACTATTGACATGTAAACAGAGAATGAAGCTTTCAGCAGAAATCCTCAGACCGTCTGGAACATTTGTCCTCCTATTGTGTTAAACCTATATATTAAACCTTTGTATTGCTTTATGTATTATGCCAACACTATTACCATTCAGTGTTGGCATTTGAACATGAAATGTTACATTTAGTAAACACTACCAGGCTTTCCCTGTGAAATGTTTTTTTTTTCATTAGCTCTGTGTATTTTAGCAAATGTAAAATGTTGAGTGCAAACAAGCAGTCGGGGAGTAATTCTTTGGCTGTAAATAGAAAGGTCTTTAGAATGTTTTTCACATTAACTGGTTGCTAAGCAAAGTTGGCTTGTGTTGATCAGAAAACGTATTGGCAAAGGCTTTGAAGAGGCGCCTGGTTCAGGAAGTGGCTTTCAGAGGTTCCAGCATATTCTGCACCTCGCTTCATCAAGTGGGCAATATGAAAAGATCTCTCAGGTAATCAGCTTCACAAATGCTTTTTTTTCTTTCTTTGCTGAATTTCTGAACAGATGACATTAAAGCAACTATCCTCTTTTCTCCAGGGCCTATACGATAACTATTTGTCAGTGAGAGTGAGGGACCCCAACCTGCAGAGTGTGTCCGAGGCTCTGGATTGGCTGATATTTTCTGACAGGCTGAATGAAGTGATTCTGCATGGACAGAACTTCTCCTTGCTGAGATATCTGCCCTTCCTGTCTGTGATGTTTCACTTCCTGTTTGCCCACACGCATGTGCCTCGCATCAGCTATCCTCACAGCCACCAGGAGGTTACGGTCTTGTGCTTGAATATGAGAAGTTTGATTAAAAAAAAAGAGAGGAGGTTAGTTTGGGTGTTTGTAACAGAAACTCTGAAGCACTCCTGTTGGTGTCCTCTGCAGGCCACCTCTCGCCTCCTCAGCAGCAGGAACGCTCTGTCCACCATGTTGGCTGACATCCCGGCAAGCATCAGATCCAGGATTGGCCAACTCCACCTCACTCTAGATGTTCTGACGATGCTTCTTGATATCATCTGTCCAAAACTACGACCTGTACGTTAAAAACATTTATTGTAACACTACTTGAAGTTGAAAAAAATATATACATATATAGCCATGTTAAAATGTTAGGAACTTTTTTCACCTTTTAATCTGGCGTATATCCTCCACAGTTTAACCTAAAATGTTGCTGAGATTATTTTGGGTTTTTTCCAAACTCGAGTTTAAAGCATCAAGAACATCCTTGTCTGAAAGCTAAACATTATTCCAGAGATATTTCAGAAAGTGTGTTCACACTTTTAGAATCCTGAAATGTTTCCATTCATCCATTGCCTTCCGCTTGTCTAAGATTGGTTCACAGGGGAACAGGTCCGGGAGGGAACCCCAGACTTCCCTCAGGCATTCCCAACTGGACTTGCTCCTACACTGCTGCATATAGACTGCATTTATTGTAATCAGGAGCGCCGCCAGGAATCTTGGGCCCCATGACGAAAAATGAAATTGGGCCCCTCCTGTGCACCTGCTGTTACAGTTTCTTGAGTCTATCTGACCCATCAAAAGTGTCACAATTTTAAAGGCTTGCAACTGCCTTCTTTTCTTTGGTCCAGTACTGATACTAGCACAATATTCACTGCAAGTGAAATTTACATGAAATAGTTCACATAAAATACAGCAAATAGGTTGCTTAAATTTGTTTTATTAGTCTTAGCTTATTGAAATGTCTCTCCCCACCAGCAACAGTCACAGGCAATGTGCAAAATATACATGAAGCAATCCAGACTTCTAAAAAATGCTATGTTGTTGCATTTTGTTCAAGCAGCAGAATATAACTTAAATAAAAAAATGTTTTTTCATATTTGTTAAAGCTGTCACCGTGTCATGACAGTTTGCTATAAAACAGATAATCGGTAAAAAGATCAATCTTCTCCACCTTCTCCCTGAGCTGCTATACTGCTGTCCAAAGAAATGCACCGTTCTGACCAAAACCAACCAATCAGAACCAGGAGGGACAGTCTTAGCACTGTCAATCAACCTCAGAAACTGTAGTGTACTCACTATTTAGATACAGAGACCAGAAGCCCAGAGGAAACTTTGAGATCAACATTGTTAGACTATTTTTCACACTCCGGTTCTCCAAACCCAGAAATGGAATTAGACCAGAGAATACTTAGTAACCCTGAACAGGAGCACTTAGTTTACATACTTTAGATCAACATTAGATTAGTTTTCTTTTGCTCCTTTTCCTCTGTTTTCTTTCCTTTGGTTTGTTATTTTTTTTGTATTTCCTTTTAACTCATGTAAAGCACTTTGAATTGCCTTGTTGCTGAAAATGTGCTATATAAATACAATTACCTTACCTCATTTACTTACTTCTAGAGGGGCTAATGAAAGATTTTATAAAGATTGTTTGGATTTCTGTGAGTAATAAATACGTAGTTTTTGTTGGGTAATTGTAAAGAGGTTAGAGAGATGGGAAAAATCCCTGGAATGATTCTAACTAGATTGTCACTGGGCACAGTGTTGCTCACCTTTTACACTGGGACAGGGGTGAGGAGTTATGCTGGTATGGTGGTTAGAGCTGCTGCTGACTGACTCATCTGTTAAGTGTGATAAAAGGTACAGGGGCAAGTTAAATATATGAATATGATGTTAAATTCTTTCTTTCATTCATTAAATGCTAGTGAAATGGAGACAAACAGTAGTCTGTAGCTTAACTAATTATGCTAAATGGTTGATAATCTCAGTCTACTCACCTCTCTTGGAGAAAAACTGGGTTATAAATTGACACTTGTCTTTTCTCTCTCTCTCTCTCTTTTTGAAAACCCGAACCCTTGGAATAGTCCTAACTTTTCCCCCTATACGGCGCCCCTGTTTGTAAGCCTTTAAGGAGTGAGCATTGTTCTGCAAATTCCCAACTCAATCAATGTGCGACTATTCCTGGCAATACCAAGATGACAGGATGAGGGGAGGTAGAGGACTGGGGCCAGGGGTGGGCTTGTTGGGTCAGGTTTGGAAGCCACCGATAACTGCTTACACTTCTAGTTTCATTTAATTTTGATTTTCTGATTTTGAGTTCAGATTTTCAATTCTATTTTAATTTTTATTAGTTCTAGTAATTTGCCTAGTTTAGTTTAGTTGGTTTTTGAAAATTCTTTGTTTAGTTTTTACTAGTGTCAGTTATAGCTTTAGTGTTCTTTTGCATATGGGTTACATACCAGGGGAGAGCCTGAAAAAAAAAGATAAAAATAGTTGGTTGGGGGATGTTGTGGTGGCAAAGGGTTAAGCACAACCCACATAAGGACCCACAAACCCACAAGCCATCACAGGTTTGATTCCTGGCCTGCTGACCTTTGCCTCAAGTCTTCCCCCTTCTCTCAATACCCACTTTCCTGTCAATTCACTATTAAATAAAGGCCACTAGAGCCAATAAAACCTTATAACAAATAGTTCACTGTAACAAAATCCCTGAAAACCATCATAGTATTTAGAAAATGTGTTAATTTAGGGCAAATGAAAGAAAAACATTAAAAAAATCCAGTAAACACAATAACAGCAGCTGGAAAGCAGGTCTTGGTGAGCTTTTCAAGTGAACCTCATTTAAAGGCACTCTGTTTTGGCTGTTTCACATATTTAATCTTGTTCTACTGCAATAAACTAACAGTGGAGTTAAATTCAAAGTAATCTCAACTCTAGCGCTTCCTCCCATGTTGCTTGATGTTAAAGGACTGTGTAGTAACATGGATAACTTCATTTGTGTTCCTGTCATCTGCTAGCATAATGCTGCACCGCAAGAAAAATCAAATGGAATCTAGACTTCATTCTTATGACACAAATGAAAACTAAACATGTTTTCTCCATTAAAGCTGTAGTATGTAGCAACAGATGCTGCTGACTGGGAAAAGCTGTAATGGTATCAGACAACATCGAAGAAAGAATAAAGACATGAGTACAAGATTGACGAGCACTAAGACCTGCCTTCTGGCTCTGACTGGTTGTTTCTAGTTGACACTGGGAGAAGGCAGAGGAGCTCCATTTTTTTCACAGATCATCTGTTTCATACCACACTGTCACAACATGGTGACAGTTTCAACAAATAGGTTTTTCAGTAGCTCTGTGAACGCTCATTACACTTTGTTAGTTTTCCTTGTTTGTGCTTCAAATCATAAAAACACAAGACTAAAAAGTCATAAAAGTAACATACAGTCAACAGTTGAGAAACTCTGACCCTAAAAGGTGTGTTTTTAGCCTTGATTTAAAGGCACTCAGTGTTTTGGCTGTTTCGTAGTTTTCTGGAAGTTTGTTCTAGATTTGTGGTACATAGAAGTTGAATGCAGACAATGCCCCAATCTTCGCCCAAAAAATTTAGTTTTTTAGTTTTGGTTGAATCGTGCAAGATATGGTCGCATTAAAAGTGGAACAATGATTGATCATGTTTCAATTTAATACCACAAAAACCTGCCATTTCAATATGTTGATCCTTTTTTGCACTAAACACCTGCTCAATGTGCAGCATTTGCTACTTTCAGGTGAATCCTCAGCTTTTTAGCAGCAGAGAGAAGGAATTGATGCGAGAGCTGATCAACACCATGCTGGCTTACAACCTCTCATACAGGCAGGACCGCACACCTGAGGGCCAGTACACCTTCATGCTGGAGCCGTGAGTACACACACACACACCCAAACAAACCTCCTGCTGCCCACCAGCCAGTGGGGAGGGAAACTTGCTGAGCAGATGTGTGAGCTGTTGGGGTGTTGAAGGTCACTGTGCTAGTCCACACTGGTTTCTCTGCATAACAGCTTAGAGAATAATCCCCTTATTACCTGGAGTGTGTGTGTGAGTGCATACAAACACATGGACACACACACCTCACAAGGGATTTAATACCTTGTGGGGACAACTTTCCTGACACATATGTTGTGGGACCCACTGTCCCTACAAGGGGAAATGCTGTTTATGGGTTAGGGTTTAGGTTTAGGACTAAGGTGTGAATTGAGTTTTGGTTAGGGTTAAGTATGTAATGGTAAGGGCTAGGCTTAGGCTGTAGAAATGAATGGAAGTCAATGGAAAGTCCCCACAAAGCTAGCCTGACAAACATACGTGTGTGTGTGTGTGTGTGTGTGTGTGTGTGTGTGTGTGTGTGTGACTGTTGTGTCAGAACAGGGTCGCAGACAGCAAAGCCTCATTACTGTTGTAGAATGGGATTGACTAAGAGTTGGACTCAGATGACATATGGCGGAATTCAACGTTTCTGGAGCAGGAATGAATGTGTTAGAACAGTGCTAGATTTGGAGGCTGTATTCATGTTTGGGAGTTTTATTCAGTTCCACGCCGTGTTTCAACGATTCCCGAGCCTGTGTGAGGCTAACGGTTGGTCAGGCTGGGATTCTCCAGGCATGCTGCGGCCGGCTGAAGAGCAGCCGGGCGTCCAGGACGGCTCCTTCCTGCAGGCTCGCTGTGATGAGGTGCTGGTCACCAATGACTGGTGCTTGCCCCTGGTGTTGGCTCTGCTGCTGCTGCTCCTGGTCTACACCTTCCTGTACCTGCCCTCACTGGCACACCACAACACCACCCTGTGACTGGTGGAGAAGGGCAGTTTGGAAATGAGTGGTCGACGTCAAAGGCAGCCTAATTGTTTGGCACAAGTGGAGATATGCCATTGGACTGCTCTGGTTTTGGATCTGGAGGAATCATCTTTAATATCAGATATCAATATAAGCCCAAATTTTTATATTGGTGCATCCCTAAAGAAAATGTAAGTAAAGTTTGTTAGTTTGCATTTGGGAAAACTTTGGAATTTGCTAATGTCATTTTCCAGGTCTAGATGATTATGAACTGGAAGCTTTATTATGACTTATGTTTTTTTTTCTTTTTTTATGTGTTGTTCTGGCGGTATGACATTCAGAATTATTGTCTTGAGTGCCAAAGTGGGGGGCAACTGTGGCTGTGTGGGTAGAGTAGTCATCTTGCAATCAGAAGGTTGTAGGTTTGAGTCCAGCTTCCTCCTGCCTCATGTTGATGTGCCCTTGGGCAAGACACCTAACCGAAAATTGCCTACCAATCTGTGTATCAGTGCATAAATGTGTGCACGTTTGTGAGTGTAAAGCGCTTTGAGTGGTCAAAACTGATTGGAAAAGTGCTATATAAGTTCAGTCCATTTACCATTTTCATTCAAGGTGAAGCCCAACAGATTTACTTCCACAAATGGAGCCTTAACTGCTTTTGCTATGGGAAAACCAAAAGCTGTGGGAAAGGGCAAGAAAGGTGGAGATAAGGGTAGAGGAGAGAAAGAAGGAAAGAAAGAAGTCTGCTCCTATACTGTCAGAAAGAGAGAAAAAATGTTTTCTAAAGACTAAACATCTAGTAGTGTTGACATGGTTTTCATTTATTTATGTCAATATTTTTGTTTCATTTGCCACATAATGGCACATTTGATTTTAACAATTTATCCTTCAGTATTTTGGTTTTTACACAATTTGGAAAAGTCTGGAATTTACTTTTAAAATGGAATAATATATAAAAACTTAGTTTCTATTTCATGACATAGCATGACTAGCATTTTACTCATCTGTCAGAATGCAGCCTCACTCAAAAATCAAAAAGGTAATTTCACCACTGTTATTGCTTCTTTTGTCATTCAAAAATGAATAAAGGCACCAATGTTCACAAAGCAGATCTGCTTTGTGAACATTGGTGCCTTTAGTCTGGATGCCAAATAAGCAGTAAAATGACCCCCGTTTGTGTAATGATGTACCAGAGAACCTGACCCAGATAGCACAATACGAGTGAAACAACATTAAAACAATGTCAGGCAGAAACATTGAATCTACGTTGAAGCCTGACATTGAAAGTGGTCAGTGACTTACATGTTTAATCAACATTAGGGTTTCAACCATAATTGACACTATATCAATGTTGATTCAACCATCAACTGAATGTGGATCTACATGCACATTTGTGTTGAAAAACACTGGATTATGCATTGGCATTTCAGTCATTAGAATTCGACCACAAAACAATATTGATTCAATGACATCTTTTCAGCATTAGTTAATTGGCTAGAATTGGATGATTGTTTGATGGTTAATCCACCGTCAGTTGTTGACCTTAGCCAAAAATCAGCTATTCTGACTATAATTCAACGTTGAATTACCATCGTGTGCAATCTGGGGAGGGCCACACAAAATGTTGTTTTTACAGGGTTTCCGCATGGGAGTAAAAGGTAGTAAATTAAATTAGCTAAAATTTAGGCCAGTAAAAGGTAAGAAAAGGTGGCATGTTTTTTATCACCCCTTGAAAATATTCTAAATTTTCCATTGATGCTTACTTCTTGTGGAGAAGCAGATCCCTATTTTGTTACTCTCAGAGCTGAAGTTCTCTGGCGCCTGAACACCGCAGCAACTCAAGTAAGTCAAACAAGGGTGTGACTTTGAGTTGCAATTGATGGGGACAAATTGTGAGGAACAGTTGGGGGGTGGGTAGGGATAGTGCAACCTAGAAGGCCTTTTTTGTGCTAAGAATGAGGCGAAAACCAAATGTGAATGCCAGGCTGTCTTACTCAAAAACTTAGGATATACAATCTGATGAGGCTTGTCAGATTAATGGTACTTATTGAAAATAAAAACCTTTTAGAATATATCAAAAAACGCCACTGCAAGTCACATCTGTGTCTCTGCTCGTCAAGACTTTCAGTAGAACGTTTTGGGGTTGGTTGGGGTAGTTGGGTTGTAGGCTGACCATTAATACATTCAGTTCAAATAAAAAAATACTTTAATAATCCTAATGGCAAATTAAATAATATATATGCTATATATAATATAATAACATATATATTATGTAATGATATATTACTGGATTCCAATCCAACATGAGCAGGAATCTGTCACAAAAATTGTTGTAACCTCCAAACTTTGACTCCTATGCTCTATAAAATATTTCATCCTATTTGATCATTGCTTTAAAATCACCACGTTCAATGAACAAATGATGCAACTACAGGGACGAAGAAACTTAGAACAACTTAAAACCATTCTGTCAGCCTAACGTCACGCAGATCCGTTGTCACGACAACCGACAGACAACATTTCCAGGAGTCAGGCTTGATGTTTATTTTGCGATTAAGAAGTAATTGCCTGAACGCTTGTGGTGGTTGATTAGCTAATTTAAAGACCTGCTCCACTGATAATCTCATAAAGTAGATGTTTGGGTTGCCTTATTTTTGTACTAACTGAACCGAAATACACCAAACTGCGCAGCATGGGTAAGCTACGTTAAGTTAGTCAAAGTTAAGCTGTAGCGTAGCTAACCTACTCCCCACTTTTTATATTTTTAATTAAAGCTTTTTACTGACCTGTGAAATGTGATCCCTTGGACCTTGTTATCTTGCTCTTGTAGTGTTTTCAATTAATATCAAAACTTTGCGTCCCCTTTTCAGATTCTTTGCTTGATTGTGTCATTTCCCCGACCACCGATATTCCTGACTGAATGCAAAGTAACAGCGCATGTGGCGCACTGCCACGGCGCGCACAGTAAGTCACGTGATGTCCAGTGCACTAGGTCACTGAGCGGACCCGCCATTTACATTTTACAAAGGAATTTTAAATAGCAGTTGTCCACTGGTTGTTAATGCTTTGAACACAGTGCTAGGTTGCTATCGAGTTACTGTCTGAAATTGATGCAGGAACAGAAAGGAAAAAGCTGTAGGAAATATTGGTGGGGACATGTCCACACCAGTCCTTCAGGAAGTTATGCTTATAAAAAGTTTTGCCCTTTTTAATCAAAATTGCAGTGAAATTTTCATTTTTGAGTATGTTCACACTGCCATCTGTTGCTTGCAGTGCAGTTGGTGTTATTTAACTTAGTTAAACTTTTACCTAAAAGTACTGCATTCATCGACTAATACCATTTAGACTCGTTGCATGTTATTGTTTACATCCGGAAATTTCACGAATGTGCTGGAGGTGCAAAAAGACTTTTCTTTTCCTTGCCATCCATAGCCACACTGCCACGATAGAACGATTCCGTTAACTAAATAAAACTTGGAGATGTAAATATTCTTGATTTAGTGCAGTACGCAACAGCAAAGGTAGAAAAACTGTTACAGAACAAATCAAATCCACTGGTACTCTTTATTTTTTTTTTTCTCACTTTGTGTCACTAGCTACACAGAGACTTGTTGCCTTAGCAACCAACAAATATTTCCACTATACGTATGAGGATTCAACACCATAAAACGCACAAACACACAAAGTGCAGAACATTCAGTCCTTAACAGTTTCATGTTTTCAGGCTTGATGTTTATTTTGGGATTATAAAGTGATCATCTGAATACAGCTGTGGTTGATTAGCTAATTTAAACACCTGCTCTAATGATCTGGCAGAGGTGGTGTGTGGGTTACATTGTGCTGCACGTTGACATATTACATTTGTTTATTCAAACTTTTCACTGATCTGTGAAATATGATGCCCTTGAACCTTGTTTTCTAGTTGTCCTAGTGTTGACAATTGGTTGCAAACCAATTCTTATTCTATTGAGAATAAAACTTCAGCTTGTGAAATTGGAATGTCATTGCATTTTACTTTGGATATTTTTTTTTTTAAGAATATAAGTCTTATGGATTTAGGATAAATACTAAAAATAGTGCTTGCTTTTTTTTAACATGTGAGGTCTTAGTCAAGATAAAGTCACAGTTACACCTTTAAGTACACAGCAGCAGGTTGGCCACTCTGAGGTCAAAAAAACCCCAACAAAAAATAGTCCAGGGGGTGCACGGCTTAGATTTTTTGTTTTTCTATCAACTCTGCAGACAAGACCACATCACTATTCAACAGTTAAGTTGGAGTAGTTTGTTTTCAGCTGCTTGCCATCACATTTTAAGTTTGTTGTGTGTGCAGTCGTGTGGAGGAGGTGGCGCGGTTTCCGGGCCTGCTGCCGCGTCGCCAGCTGACTTACCAGGCCAAACAGACCATCAGCAGAGAAATGGAGCAGGAGAAGATGAGAAGAGCTGAACAGATGATGCTTCAGAGGAACCCTGCTACGGTTAGATGCCACCGCCTGTTTAGTCAGAAAAAAGCTGAATGTGTATGAAACTGTACTTATGATTTGTGATGTGCTGCATGTGTTTGTTGTGAAGAAAGAGGAAGAAAAAAAGAGTGCAGGTCCGAAACCAACCAAGAACCATCAGCAGAGGTTGGAGAACATTGTGAAACAGACAACAGTGGAGACCAGGGTGAGATGCACAAAAACACCTTCTTTTCAGGGAATGTGTGCTTTATGTGCTGACAGTTAAAGTTCAGAAAGCAAAATCCAGTTTATTTCTAAAGCACTTAAAAAGAACTTGTTTAACCAAAGTTCAGTACAACACTGAAGCGAATCAAACAAAGACACAAATAATAATAAAATGACAAAGAAAAAAACAAAATAAAGCACATGACAGACTGTAGTAAATAAAACGGAAAGAAAAGAACCAACTCCAACTGTAGAAGCCTAAATTCAGTTTTAGTTCATTCAGACCTTTAGAATAAATTAAGTTTGTATTTCTTATGATAATTTGTTTATTAGGATAAAAATGATTACTAGTTAAACCTCTAATGCATACAAATTTCTTAGACTACTAAGGCCTTCTAGTAAATATACATATCTATTTGCAGTTAAGGATTTGAAGGTGTGGCTAGAGAATTAGGGTTAGTTTTATTCTTTATTCTTTTTGTGTAAAAGTAACATTTGTATCATTTTTATTTTTGAAGTAAACTGTTTAACTTTAAGAGGATCCAGTCTGTTTTTTTTTTTGTTTTTGTTTTTTTTTTGTCATTTCAACATCAAGTGGACAGAAAGGGAAATATGGAGTGTCAAGCTTATGGCTTCATTGTTTCGGAATCTACAATAGTAAAAAAAAAACTTGCTCTACATGTGGACTGTATCAACTTGGAGCAACACAACTTACAAGGAATTGTTTCAGAAAAGCAGCACAGAGACTTGGAAAAGTAGTAAATTGGATAACAAGCGACAGTTGCAGCTGAAGTACTTGAGTTAAAAAAAAGAAAAAAAATGAAGGCAAGCATCTGGTGGCTCAGTGGAATTATGAAGTGGAACTGTTGACATTATTATCTATAAGACGTAGAAGTTTAGCTCGCTATGGACGAACGAGAGAGTGAAAAACGGACGGTGAAAATGACTGGAAAGGCTGGAGAAGAACATAAGCCTAAGCTAATCCAAGCTCTCAGGTCCACGCTAGTCCAGGTGTCAAGCTTGAAGAAGCAAATTGAGCAGTTAATGGAAAATGACTCAAACGTTGATGCTGTAAAAAAATAAGCTTCGTGTGGATTTTAGTGGCTTGCAAGAAGAGTTTAAGAAGTTCGACTCTGATCTGCAGAAAGTTATTGATGATTAAGAATACATGAAAGATCAAAGAGACTGGTTCAGACCGAAGCATGATGCTATGGATGACTTCTTTTGGCGTTGTGAAGGATGGATGAAAGACATTCTGAATTGCGCCAACCCAGCCGAGGAATGTGACAAACAGAAAACACCTGCAGATAGCAGGTCTATGACATCAAGGCAGACAAGCAGACACAAAAGTAGTTCATCAACACAATGTGGAAGTTCAGTCTCATCATCTTCATCAGTGAGATTAAAGGCAGAATTAGAGTGGGCTGCTTTAAAGGCAAAGGCTGCTGCTTTACAGAAAATAAACTAGAAAAAGAAGAAGCAGAGTGGCATGCAGAGCAAAATTTCAAGAATATAGAGGCTGAAGAAAACAATAAGAAGCAGAGTTTGAAGCTCAGCAAAAGATTTTTGAAGCTGTTTTAAAGGCAATCAAAGCATGCAATGCAAACAGCGTTAGCAGAGTCCAGTGCTAAAATGCTAAAATGGAGATTTTGCAGAAATATGAAGAAGACAACAGCGTTTTTCAAGCTGATTAAAAAGACAGTAAAGAAGATATAAAACCTACATTACAGCTACCATCACAGAACACATTAAAACCAGGCAGCTTTAAAGACACTGCTCCAGCTGCACATGTTCAAATGGCTACATCTGTAAAAGAAGTTGAACCTAGAGATCAACCTAGAGACGGGCTTTGCCAAGCTATTTCACAAAAAGCCCATGTCACAGAGTACCTGGTGAAGAACCATAACCATTTCTTCCAGGTCTCACCATACCAATATTTAATGGAGAACCGTTGGAATGCAGATCTTTCACTGAAGCCATCGAACATGGAATCGAGAGTTGACCGGTAATGATTGTGATTGACTTCAGTTTTTGCTACACAACACAAGTAGATAACCACATGAGTTGGTTAAGAGCTGCATTCATATGGAATCTTCAGCAGGATATATTAAAGCTAGACAGATGTTAAAGGAGTTCTTTGAAGATGACTTCAAGATCCCAGAAGCCTACATTAAAGAGGATTTGAACTGGCCAGCAATTAAACCAGAAGATGGAGTTGCTCTTCAGTCTTTTGCACTTTTCTTTACTGGCTGCTCAAACTCAATGATGCTATTAGATATTAGCTATCTAATAGCCAATATTAGCTACTAGATAGCAAATATTTTCAGAAAACTTGGGCAACACAGCTAATATAAATTTTTTGCTAAATAAACTGCCATGCAAGCTCAAAGAATTGTGAAGAAAATCTGCCTGTGACCTGCAAGAAAGGACCAAGAAAAGAGATAAATTTAAGGACTTTAACTTTTTGAACCAGCAGGTTCAATACCTTTTACACCCACTCTATGGAAACTTAAAGGACACCACCATAGCCACGAAAAAATCTACTAAACCAAAACAACACTTGGAATCATTCAAACCAAAGAAGGTGCTTACCACACTTGTTATACTTCAAAAGACAGAAGACAGAAATATCTTCAAAAACACCACCTACAACAGCAGAGACTACCACCAAACGTGTTTATAAGCTGTGAAGAGCAGTGCTCTCCACAGCCTCATAGTTTGCAAAAAATTCAAGAGCAAGCCACATAAGGACGAAATTGAATTCCTGAGGAGCAAAGGTTTGTGTTTTGCACGTTTGAAGCAAGAACATATGAGTAGCAGTTGCAAACAGAAACTTCAGTGTCAAGAATGCTCAAGATGTCACCCCACATCTTTACACATTACAACCAAAGGCACTAAAGAAGAACCAGTAAAGGAAAGTTGTGAACAGCTGAAACCTGTGGTGTCACTGGGGCCGGGAGGGACGATTGTGTCCTGTCGGTCATTCCAGTGTGTGTAAAGGCACGAAAGGGAACCAAGACAATGACATCTTATGCATTTTTGGATCCAGGTAGCTCAGCTTCCTTTGCTACAGAGTCACTGATGAATCAGTTGTGAATACACACATTGTGACTGGTCTGGAGATCAACAGACCAGATCAGAACTAGTTTGTTTTTCCCCCTAGCGGCACCACAACCTGCTGCGCAAACTCTGACTTGCTCCTATCTTATTATTTATGCAGCAGCAGTAGCAGCTCGCTCTGCTTCACTCCTGCCTCTGCTCCACAGTCCTCTGAGCTTGGATGTGACACAAATTGCACCGATCTGAAATTATGCAGCCGACAGAAATACAGATACTGTTGAGGAAAGCTGCTACCATGGAAATAGATTTTATTCTGAAATGATTCAGCTTCCATCTATCACCTAAAGTCTCTCCTCTTAAACTGGCAACTACTGGAGACTTGTAGCACCAGCATAACAAAATTTCATATCCTGTGCTGCACGTTACGCTGATTTTGTCAGTGCCTCCTTCAATGAGTGTGGGAATTTTTGGTATCAAAGAGCAGCACAGGATCCGTCAAAGAGCTGCATGTTCGCCACCCCTTTGTTAATGTGCCGTTGTTGTGAAGCTGCATGTTCTGTGTTAATTCATAATTAACTGACTTCAAGTTTAATTAACCAGTCTGAGGGAATATGTCAACTGATTTAGCTCTACAGTGTATTTAAGTACTGCTTCACTGTATTTTTATGTTTATGTTGTAACTTTGGTTATAATTAATTAGTATTATTCTGCTTTGATTACAGAAACCACACACCTACACATACTTTTGTGTATGTACATTCTGGCAACTTTTCAATATAAAGAGTGAACTTTGATTTGGACTCCTCCTTCTTTGAATATTTATAAGTGTTCTGAAGCGATTTCTGCCAGCTCAGATTCACAAACCCATCTCAACACTGAAGCTGGTCAGAGAAGAACAAACGAACAGAACCATTTCCATATTCATCAACCAACAGAAGCATAAAACCTTTTTCAAGAACCAGAGTAGTCCTCCAGGGGCATTATTACTCCCTATTGTTATAAACATTTAAATGCAGCTTTTATTTTTGATTTTCTAAAAGAGTTTTAATCTGATCAGATTTTGGTGGCTGTTTGCTGACCTTTTCTTTTAAATATGAATACACAATTACTGCTCAAAAAACTAAATATATGGAAAAGTAGACTGAAATCTAAGGCTTATAATAGTGAAAGTGTTACATAAGCTCTATTTTAAAAAATGAAAGAGAAATGTCAGCTTTCTGATAATTACACTATATTGCCAAAAGTATTTGCTCACCCGTCCAAATTATCGGAATCAGGTGTTCCAATCATGTCCTTGTCCACAGGTGTATAAAATGAAGCACAAGCATACAAAATGTTTTTACAAACGTGTGAAAGATTGGCTCGATCTCAGGAACTCAGTGAATTCCAGCATAGAACTGTGATAGGATGCCACCTGTGCAACAAATCCAGATGTGAAATTTCCTTGATATTCCCCAGTCAAATGTCAGCTGTATTATAAGAAAGTGGAAGTGCTTGGAAACGACATGAGGCCTTCAGATTAGCTCAAGAACAGTGCGCAGAGCTTCTTGGAATGGGGTTCCATGGTGGACCAGCTGCATCCAATGCAAAGCGTTGGATGCAGTGGTGTAAAGCACGCTGCTACTGGACTTTAGAGCAGTGGAGGCGCGTTCTCTGGAGTGACGAATTGCACGTCTCCATCTGGCAATCTGATGGGCAAGTCTAGGTTTGGCAGTTGCCAGGAGAACAGTATTAGTCTGACTGCATTGTACCAAGTGTAAAGTTTGGTGGAGGGGGATTATAGTGTGGGGTTGTTTTTCAGGAGCTGGGCTTGGCCCCTTAGTTCCAGTGAAAGTAACTCTGAATGCTTCAACATACTAAGACATTTTGGACAATTCCATGCTCTCAATTTTGTGGAACAGTTTGGTGATGACCCCTTCCTCTTCCAACATGACTGTGCAC